TTCATCCATCCACCCATTCATCCATCCACCCATTCATCCATCCACTCACCCACCCACCCATCCACTCATAATCCATCCACCCACCCATTCATTCATCCACCCATCCACCCACCCATCCACCCATCCACTATCCGTCCATCCATCCACCCACACATCCATCCATCCACCCATCCACCCATCCATCCATCCATACAGCCAGCCAGCCAGCCACCCACCCAGCCACCCATCCATCCATCCACCCATTCATTCATCCACCCATCCACCCAGCCACTATCTATCCATCCACCCACCCATCCATTTATCTATTCACCTGCCCATCCACCCATTCATCCATCCATCCACCCATTCATCCATCCATCCATCCATCCATCCATCCATCTATCCATCCAACCACCCATCCACCCATCCATCCACCCATCCATCCACCCATCCACCCATCCATCCACCCATCCACCCATCCATCCATGCATTCATCCATCCATCCATCCAACCACCCATCCATCCACCCATCCATCCACCCATCCACCCATCCATCCACCCATCCACCCATCCATCCATGCATTCATCCATCCACCCATCCATCCACTATCCAACCATCCAAACATCCATCCATCCACTCATCATCCACCCATCCCCCTATCCTTCCCCATCCCTCCCTTCCTCCCTCCCTTCTTCCCTCCCTCCCTCCTTCCCTCCCTCCACCACCACCCAGCGACCCAGAAATAAATTTACTGAGCACATCTACTCTGAAGCTGGCCCATGGAGGAGCCCACATAGGCTGCTGTCCTCAAGGCACTTATAGAAAAAAGGCCAGCAGTGGTACACATTGTGGCCAAGGTGGTGAGGACAATGGTCAGGGCAAGGGCATGACACTTGGGCCAGATCTCAAGGTGGGGGTGACTGCCCAAAGGTGGCTGGTCTTCTGAAGCACAGTGGCCCTTTCCTCATAGGAAGGCCAGCCCAGTGGACACCTGCCCAGTGGAACCCAGGCCAAGAAGCCCAAACTGCTGACTTGGCCTCTCCCCATTCTTATCCAGAGTAAATACCTCTGTGTGCTTACCCACCCACCCTTTACACCCAGCTGCGGGGTGGGTAAGTTAGCATCCTACTAGTAAACCCTTGCAGTCCAGTGGCAGATGATGTGGGACCTGGGCTTGCACACCCCAGATCTTTCAGAATCTTTGAAGGTGCAGGAAGTGGGCATGCTGTGATGTCTGGGTTCCCCTTTCTGATATTTTGGGGAAGACATGGGGAGGAGGTGGGCATGGCTGGTGCTTTGTTTGTCTGCTCTTGAGTCCTAAGATACTCACTTGCCAGGGACTCTGTCCCTGTGGCTGGCTGGGGCTGGAGTCTCCCTGGGTGTCCATGGGATGGGAACCCAAGATTTCTCTGGGCACACCCTCCATCTGCCTGATGAGGCTTGGCCAGAGCCGTGGAACTGGGGTTGGGCGTAGGGTCTGAGAAGGGTATATATACATATATAAGAGAGAGAGAGACAGAGATTTATTTTAAGGAATTGTGGGGCCTGCAAGCCTGAAGCCTCAGGGTGGGCCTGCAGGCTGGACACCAGGGAAGAGCTGATATTGCAGCTCTAGACCAAAGGCCATCTGGAAACAGAATTCTTCTCTCCCAGGGGACCTCCTTCTTTCCCTCTTAAAGCCTTCAACTGATTGGATGAGGCCCACCCACATGAAGGGTGATTTATTCACATCTAAAACATACCTTCACAGCAACATCTAGACTGGTGTTTTATTGGTACCACGGCCTAGCCCTGTTGACACATAAAATTAACCTTCACACTAGGTGACTCAAAACGGGGGGCTGGTGGGCTGGGGACACACCTGCTATCTTCAGGTCCCCCCAACAGGTGTGAGGCTTCCTCTTTTCTCTCCACAACATTCCTTTCTTCTTCCTCCCCCCCCTACAAACCCAATGCCCCTCACCCCCATTCCCTCCCCTACAACCCTCCCCCACAACCCCTCCACTTCCTGATGAGTCAGGTTTGTGGACAGAAAGCAGTGAGACACTCACTTTAGGCTGTTTCATGACGTCTTTGTGGCCTCCTCCCTGTGGTAAATTCGTGCAATCCTTGGGAGCAGTGTCTTGTCAGGGTGAACACTGCTGGGTGTGGGGCCTGGCAGGGAGGCTCTGTGCTCTGTCCCGGGCCCTGTGCTGGGGGGTCCACCTGTCGGGGCTGGGCAGTCAGCGTCTCCTCAACAACCTCCTGGCTGCAGTTGGGCAAGGCTGTGTCCTCCACTGAGGACTGGGGATGGGGGGGGGTCCCTGTGGGTCCCAGGGGGAGAACATGCTCCAGCTGCAGAGGGGACACTTCCAGGGACACATTCACATCTGTCCACATGGTAAAGGTGATGGGGTATGTGTCTCAGTGTACCAGGCGTCTGTGGCCCTGTTTGGGCATTTCTGTCCTGTATGTAGCAGAACCTGTGCCCTGACTCACCTGTAGGGGCCCCACGACCACAGTGAGACAGCCCAGCTGGCTGTGGGCGCTGACCAGGGATCCCGAGGGTGGCGCTGAGCATGGGAAGCCAACCCAGACTTTGCTGGGGGCGGTGGGGCGATGTGGGTCACCCCAGCCTGATGGAGCGTTCACCAGCACCTTCTGCAGGCTCCTTCCCACCGCACGCTCTGAGCCTCCACGCCATGCCTGGCGGCCTGATGTCACTGCTCCTCGGAGCCCCACCTGAGATGCTGCAACTGGGCCAGGAGTGTTAGGGTCAGACCTCTGGGCCTCAGGTCAACACTGCTGCCCCACCCATAGGAGACATAGGGTTGCCTTTCTCAGACCCCAGTAGTGGACTCCCACCTTCTCAGTCCCAGGGGAATACCCCACTTCTCCATCCCGGGGAGGACCCACCTTCTCAGTCCCAAGGGAGGAACCCACCTTCTCAGGCCCAGGGGAGGACCCCACTTCTCCAACCCGGGGAGGACCCCACCTTCTCAGTCCTGGGGAGGACCCCACCTTCTCAACCCCAGGGGAGGACCCCACTTCTCAATCCTAGGGGAGGATCCCACCTTCTCAGTCCCGGGGAGGACCCCACCTTCTCAATCCCGAGGGAAGACCCCACCTTCTCAGTCTTGGGGGAGGACCCCACCTTCTCAGTCTGAAGGGAGGAATCCATCTTCTCAATCCCAGGGGAAGACCCCAATTTCCCAATCCCATGGGAGGACCCCACCTTCTCAGTCCCGGGGGAGGACCCCAATTTCCCAATCCCAGGGGAGGACCCCACTTCTCAATTCTAGGGGAGGACCCCACTTGTCAATCACAGGTGAGGACCACACCTTCTCAGTCCCAGAGAGGACCCCACCTTCTCAGTCCCGGGGAGGACCCCACTTCTCAATCCCAGGCAGGACCCCACCTCTCAATCCCAGGGGAGGACCCCACTTCTCCATCCCAGGGGAGGACGCCTGCCTATCATGCTCAGGGCAGGAGGGGCTAGGCTGGGTGTCCAGTGTGGGGCCAGGATTTCTCTGAATCCCACTAGGGCAGAGGAAACCTGTCATGGAAAATCATTGCCTCTGGGGGGTGTGAGGGGGCCCCGTCCTTGGGTTTCCCCAGGGCTCGCTGCCAGCCTGTTTGGCCCCACAGAGAAGTGGACAATGGGCCCACGGGCCCGTCTGGCTCTGGTTTCTAATCCCTGTTGCTCCTGGCTCAGGCCACACGCTCGTGCCTGGGTCCCTGGGCTCCTGCAGAGAGGACAGTTCCTGGGCCTGGGGCTGGGCAGTGGGACGCGAGAAGGGGCTTCATCCCAGGCCCCCTGGGAGTGGCAGGCTCCCTGACCTCGGCTCCCGGTTACCCTGTCAGACCCTGGGGGACTGGCCCCAAGGAATCGTCAGGTGGTGCATGCATGCTTCTTGTCCCTAGATGCTGTCACGGTGGCGTGGAGGTCCTGTCTGCAGGGAGGGGCCCCCTGGAAGGTGGCAGGCCCAGGTGCCGACTCCTGCTAGGCACTTGCTCCTGGTCATACCTCTGAGGGGAGACTGGGTCAGGCAAACAGCGTGTCCCATGCCCCCATCCGAGGGCGTCCACCTCATCCAGAGTCTCAGTGATTGTTGACATGAGTCTCTCCCCACTTGCCCTGAAGCTCGGGGACACTAGATTATAATTTGTCGAGTCCGAGCCCACTCGGTTCTCCCTGTACTTCCCAGAAGACGAAGCTCTGGACCCGCAGGGGAGGCCGCCAGCCTGGGGCTGCCTCTGGGCCACAGTCGGCTCGGGGACATCCGCTCCCAGCCTCCAGCCAGGCCTCCTGTGCCCGAGGATGTGTTTCAGTTAGGCGCCTGTGGGCTGGGCTCCCAAGTTCCAATTACAGGTAATTCCAGAGACTGGCTCAGCCTGGGAACACGAGGGGATTAGGGGGTGTGCCGGAGCTGGGGGCCGGACGTGGAGCTGCCAGCCGAAACGGGCCTGGGAGCAGAGTCCACACCGAGATGGGGCAGCCCCTGGACCTCCCAGGAGCCCACATGTTCCCTGGCTTGGGGGCCTCGAGCCCCTGGTAGGGGAGGCTGGGGGATCAGAGTGGGAGAGAGGAGCAAACACGGGGTGGTGGTCCTGTCTGGGAGCCCCCCTTGGGGAAGCGCCTCGTTCAGGCCTGGCTCTGCGGGGATGCTGGGCAGGGTGGGCTGGGGCCGGGAGGGGCACGCGGCTGCCAGGGTGTGGTGGTGCAGGACCTCCCCGCTGGGCCCGGTCCTGCTCACAGCTGGGAGGGTGTGTGTTGGAACTGGGGTCGCTGGTGCTGAGGCATCCTGAGGAGGGCTAGCTTTACCGAGGGCTCAATAAAAAGATAAGCCGCAGATAACTTGAATCAATATTCCCGGGTGGCACCTCGGGAGCTCCCACAGCTGTTTTCTTGATAACCTGGCAAACGCCCCACCCACCCCTCGCCCCTCCCCTGCTCTGCCCCACTCTGCCGGCCCTCCTGGGCCATATAAGGCCTGGACCCCTGCCCCAGTTGCTCTCCCTGCCGCCCTTGTGAGCCACCATGGGGCTGCCGCTAGCCCGCCTGGTGGCCGTCTGCCTGGCCCTGAGCTCTGCTGGGTGTGCAGAGCTCCAGAGAGGTGAGGGGCGGCAGGAAGACCGGGGCGGCCCAGAGCAGAGGTTCTACCTGGGAGTAGGTGACCCTCCTCTGCCCAGCCCTTGGGGGTGTACCACTTGGGTTGAGCATCCTGCCCCCAAGCCCTGCTGACTTTGGGTGGAGGGAAGGAAGGAGGGCAGGTGGTCTTGGGTTCACGCCGTCCCTTTGAAGGTGATCTCCTGGCTCGGGAGGTGGTACCTGCTGGAAACCCCTGTGCTGGGCCTTTGTCCACGGGTGGAGGTAGGGGCAGCCAAGAGGGGCTGGGTGTCAGGGACCCTCGGAGGGCCAAGGCCAAGATGGCCCTTCTGCAGAGTGTTTAGCACATGATGAAGGGGTCGTTCCAGAAAAGACTGGTCACGTAGGCTGGGGACATCTCCATCCCATGTGGGTTGGGTGACAAAGCCACTGGAGGGGAGCTGGCCTCAAATGTTTGGACACGACGTGGGCACCATCTGAGGGTGCGGGGATGCGGTCCTGCTGGATGAGGGGCTGTGGGAGCAGCGGGGGGGGGGCACGGATTCTGTCAGTGACAGGGCAGGGGGCACTGGGCCGGGTGGAGAGGGTGCCCGGGGGTCCGGAAAGCCCCTCTGCCCCCGCTGCCCGCCCAGCCGATGGCCGCATCCCGTGCCAGGCTGGGGTGTGAAAGTGTGGCGGCTGGAGATGTCCTTTCGGGGGGCTGAGACCCCCGGGTGGGGTGACCAAGGTCCAGCAGGGGCCACTCCGACAGGACGGCCTCACGGAGGGTGCTCGGAGGGTGGCTGCGGGGTGGGGCCTTGGGACAGGCCTCCGGGGGGCGGCGTAGGCTGCTCACCCCTGCCCGCCCCTGCTCCCCCAGAGGGCAGGACCCAGAACCACGGCCACAGCGTCTGCAGCACTTGGGGCGACTTCCACTACAAGACCTTCGACGGGGACGTCTTCCGCTTCCCGGGCCTGTGTGACTACAACTTTGCGTCCGACTGCAGGGACTCCTACAAGGAGTTCGCAGTGCACCTGAAGCGGGGCTCGGGCAGCGCCGGGGGGCAACCCCAGCTCGAGCACATCCTGCTGAACATCAAGGACGACACCATCTACCTCACCCGCCATCTGGCTGTGGTCAACGGGGCCCTGTGAGTGCGGCTGGGCGGTGGAGGGCGGGCGGGCTCCCCGCCCCTCCCCTGGGGGCCCCAGGCAGCATCTGCCCTCTGCCCTCCGCCCTCCGAGTGAGGAGGGCCCCCTGTTACCCAGGCTCTAGTTACAGAAGGGGGAGCCCGTGGGAGCCCCTCCCGCTCCCAGGCAATTGTCCCCCATTGCTTCTGGAACAATGGGGCTCTAAGCTGCATTCCTGCCCAGGCTCCAGCAGGGTCTGTCCTTTGTCTCCCCCATTCTTGGCGGCGGGGTGGGTACAGACTTGGGGTGAGCTAGCACCTGGGCCAGCCTGGGTCAGGCGGTGGGCAAAGCCCGGCTCTGAGGACAGGGCCCTGAGGAGGGGCGGGGCCAGGGAGGCAGGCAGGCAGGGGGTGGACAGGGACTGTCCCGCCATGGCCCACCACGCCCTCTGTGGTCCCCACACGGCTGGCTGGGAGCTGAGGCCACCCCACCCGCCCGACGTGCAGCCTCAGGCCCCCCCAGCCCCGCCCCGGGCAGGGGATGGCGGCGGGCCTGCCGCGGTGGGTGGCCGTGTGGGCTGGCGTGTGACTCTGGCCCGGCGCCCCTGCCCCAGGGTCAGCACCCCGCACTACAGCTCTGGGCTGCTCATCGAGAAGAGCGACGCCTACACCAAGGTCTACTCCCGCGCTGGACTCACCCTCATGTGGAACCGGGAGGACTCACTCATGGTGCGTGCAGCCGCCACCATGGGCCTGGGGCTGGGGTGCCTCCACCAGGCCTCTGGGATCCTCGGGGAGTGCGGGGGCCAGCGGTCTGAGCCTTGTCCTGAGGGGTTCGGCCATGGGGCTGTGCTCTGGAGGAGCAGATGGGGCCGAGCAGCCCTCCCAGGGAGGGGACCCTCGGGGCCTGGGGAGCTGGCTGGCCCTCCCCCGTCCCAAGCCCCTCCTGGTCCTCAGTGACCCCTGGTGCCAGGACACCCCGGCCTGACTCCAGCCCTCCGGTGGATGCCACTTGGAGGAGCTGCTGAGGCTGGCCTGGCCACGGGAGGCTCATCTGGCTGCCGCAGCCTGGGGTCCAGCCGGCCCCCAGCCCCTCACCTGCCTCCTTTTCCCCAACAGCTGGAACTGGACAGTAAGTTCCGGAACCACACGTGTGGCCTCTGCGGGGACTACAACGGCCTGCAGACTTACTCTGAGTTCCTGTCTGAGGGTGAGAGCCTCCCCGGGGGTGGGGGGGCGGGGGGGGCGGGGGGGCGGGCAGGCTCTGCTGGCTCTGGGCGCCCCCCCGCTGATGGGCTGTGCCCCCAGGCGTGCTCTTCAGTGCCCTCGAGTTTGGGAACATGCAGAAGATCCACAAGCCCGAGGTGGTGTGCAATGACCCCGAGGAGGCGCCGGCCCTGGAGTCCTGCTCTAAGCACGTGAGTTGCGGCCGGAGAGCCCTGCCCGGGGGAGGAGCCGTTCCCGGGCACGGGCCTTCTAGGGACAACGCGGAGAAGGGGCGGGCGTGGGCAGCCCTCACCTCGCTCCCGCTCCCGCGTGTCTGCAGCGCACTGAGTGCGAGAAGCTGCTGACGGCCGCAGCCTTCGAGGACTGCCGGGGCCTGGTGCCGCTGGAGCCCTACGTGCAGGCGTGCGTGCGGGACCGCTGTGGGTGCCCGGCGGGCTCCTCCTGCACCTGCAGCACCCTCGCCGAGTTCTCCCGCCAGTGCTCCCACGCGGGCGGGCAGCCCCGGAACTGGAGGACCGCCGAGCTCTGCCGTAAGCGCCGCAGAGCCGCCAGGATGGTGGGGCGGCGGGCACCCTTGGGGCCCCGAGGCTGGGGGCGCCGTCTGGGGGGCAGGGCAGCCCGCGCCCTGGCCGGGGAGGAGCCGCGTCTGTGCCCACCCGGTGGCGGGGCGGCCCGGGTGGAGGCGTGTGAGGCAGCAGTCGGCCGAGCCGGCGCCCCACTCCCCCGCCCTCTGTACTCCCCTGCCCGCTCAGTGGCCTGCCTCTGCCCTCCTAGCCAAGAGCTGCCCCGGGAACATGGTTTACCTGGAGAGCAGCTCGCCCTGCATGGACACCTGCTCACACCTGGAGGTCAGCAGCCTGTGTGAGGAGCACCGCATGGACGGCTGTTTCTGCCCGGAAGGTGTGCGCCGTGGAGGCTGAGGGGCAGGGGGTGGGGGCGCTGCCCCTATGCGGCCCCCCAGGCCGGTGCGCCCTGGGACCGGGGGCAGCCGTGCAGGTGGTGGGGGCAGCGACGGGGCCGGAGGCGAGGTGCAGTGCCCCTCCCCTGGCGAATGCCAAAGACCCCCTCCCCCTAAACACACACAGTGGTGGCTTCGGGGGGTCTGGGCGGGGGGGACGCCTTCCTGGTCATCACCCTTGCGCACACGTCCTGCTGCCCCGCTCACGGAGCCTGGAGGCCCCCAGGAAGGTGGTCTGGAGGCCAGGCTCCCATGGCACGGCGGGGGGCACCGAAGCAGAGGTACCTGCGGGGGGCGGGGAAGGCCTGGCCGGCGACCCCACCTCGGGGCTCGCCCCACTTTCCGCACGCCAGCCCGGGGCTGTGGCCCCGCCAGAGGGAGCCCCGCTGTGGGGATTCTGGGCTTTCCAAGGCCGGCCGGCTGTAACGCCGTGTCCCGCACCATCAGGCACCGTGTACGATGACATCACAGCCCGTGGCTGCGTCCCCGTGAGTCAGTGCCACTGCAAGCTCCATGGGCACCTGCACTCGCCCGGCCAGCACATTAGCAGGGACTGCGAGGAGTGGTGGGTCGGGGGCCCAGGGCTGGGGCGGCAGGCTGGGGGAGCAGGACTGGCGGGCAGGGCTGGCGGGCAGGGCTGGGGGCTGGCGGGCTAGCGAGGAGCAGGGCCGGTGGGCAGGGCTGGGGAGAGCAGGGCTGGGGTGCAGGGCTGGGGGCAGGGCTGGGGTGCAGGGCTGGCGGGCAGGGCTGGTGGGCAAGGCTGACGCGCAGGGCTGGGGGCTGGTGGGCTGGTGGGGAGCAGGGCTGGGGGCAGGACTGGTGGGCAAGGCTGGGGGCAGGGCTGGTGGGCAAGGCTGGCGGGCAGGGCTGGGGTGCAGGGCTGGTGGGCAGGGCTGGTGGGCAAGGCTGGCGGGCAGGGCTGGGGTGCAGGGCTGGCGGGCAGGGCTGGTGGGCAAGGCTGGCGGGCAGGGCTGGGGGCTGGTGGGCTGGTGGGGAGCAGGGCTGGGGGCAGGACTGGTGGGCAAGGCTGGGGGCAGGGCTAGGGGAGCAGGGCCGGTGGGCAGGGCTGGGGGGCGGCTGAGCCTCACGTCGTGCCTCACCGCCCACAGTATCTGCACCGCTGGCCGCTGGGTGTGCCAAGACCTGGCGTGCCCGGGCACCTGTGCCCTGGAGGGCGGCTCCCACATCACCACCTTTGATGGGAAGAAGTACACCTTCCACGGGGACTGCTACTACGTGTTGATCAAGGTAGCTGGCCGGGCGGCGTGCAGGCTGAGCGGAGGCCTGGCCCCGCGTCAGGCTCCGAGTCGGTCACTGCCACCGCCCCGTCCCCCACAGGGCGACCACAACAACTCCTACGCCCTCCTGGGCGAGCTGGCCCCCTGCGGCTCCACGGACAAGCAGACCTGCCTGAAGACGGTGGTGCTGCTGACTGACAGCGGGAAGGACGTGGGTGCCCCCGCCCCCCCCCTCGCCCCCAGCACCCCAGGGCCCCTAGGGCCCCAGGCCCTTCTCAGCCCGGCCGTCCCCTCTGCCCGTCCCGCAGGTGGTAGCCTTCAAGTCGGATGGCAGCATCCTGCGGAACGAGCTGCAGGTGAACCTGCCCCACGTGACGGGTGAGTCCCGCCCCCGGAGCGCCCAGCGGGGTCTGCTGGTGGGAGGGCAGTCCCCCAGCTCGAGAGCCCTGCTGACCAGCCGGGACCCCCTGCCTTGCAGCCAGCTTCTCCATCTTCCAACCGTCCTCCTACCATCTCATGGTGAGCACCGCCTTCGGCCTCAGGCTGCAGGTCCAGCTCATGCCCGTCATGCAGCTCTTCGTGACGCTGGACCAGGCTGCCCAGGGGCGCGTGCAGGGTGAGTGGTGCCCTCGGCTAGCCCCCACAGAGGCTCCGCTCAGGGCCTGCCCCCCGGAGCCCTGCCCCTTCCCAACCCTGTGCTGGCCCCTCAGGCCTCTGCGGGAACTTCAATGGCCTGGAAGGGGATGACTTTAAGACAGCGGGCGGGCTGGTGGAGGCCACGGGGGCCGGCTTTGCCAACACCTGGAAGGCCCAGGCGAGCTGCCACAACAAGCTGGACTGGCTGGACGACCCCTGCTCCCTCAACATCGAGAGCGGTGAGGCTCGGCCTCGTGGGGCACGTGGAGCTCCCAGGGGGACGTGGTGGGTGGGTGGGGGCGGGTGAGGCCGGGTGGCCAGCCCATCCACCTGCTGCTTTCTGCCACGTGGCTGGTTTATGGTGGCCCACAGAGGCAGCCCGCCAAGAGACACAGCAAAGGGGCTAGGCCCGCTCGTTAATCACTGGGTGGTGGCCCTCGTCCCAGGGCTGGTCTGGTGCCATGACATGCTGCCCGCCACGTCAGGGGCAGTTGAGGGAGGGGAGGCTGTGGGTGCCCCACCTTACGAGGGGTGTGGTCTTGCACTGGGCTGGAGGGGCCTGGGTGGCCAGGCGGCTGGGCTCATGGGATGTGCTGGAGGGGGCTGCCCCTGCTGAGGTTCTGACCCCTTCTCCAGCCAACTATGCCGAGCACTGGTGTTCCCTGCTGAAGAAGACAGAGACCCCCTTTGGCAGGTGCCACTCAGCCGTGGACCCCTCGGACTATTACAAGGTGGGTGGGACCCGCACACGCACTGCTCACCACCTGATCCATGCCAGCAAGGTGTGCTCTGTGCCCCAGGCTGAGCCTGACCCCTGCCTGCAAGGCTGCTGCTGGCAGTTGCTGAGCTTGTCTGTGCAAGCACACGTATGTGTGTGTGCACATGTGTGTATGTGCACCTTGCAGGGATGTGAGCCTGTGTGTAAATGTGCACAGATGTCTCTGTGTGGGTGTGCATGTGGGTGTCTGTGCGTGCACGTGGGTGTCTGTGTGTACACGTGTGTGCACGTGGTGTCTCTGTGTGCACAACCCGTGTGTGCAGGTGGCTGTGTGTGCGCACGGGGGTGTGCCGCCTGCTTCCCTCCCTCACTGCCTGTCCCCCCCCCCCAGAGGTGCAGATATGACACGTGTAACTGCCAGAACAGTGAGGGCTGTATGTGTGCCGCGCTGTCCTCCTACGCCCGCGCCTGCGCCGCCAAGGGCGTCATGCTGTGGGGCTGGCGGGAGCAAGTGTGCAGTGAGTGCCGTCCCCTCTGGGGCGTCCACGGTGCCCTGTGGTGGGAGGGGCCCGCCAGCTGCAGCCGCCCTCTGCTTCTCGTGGCTTGCGGCCCCCAGTGTGGGGCAGGGGCTCCTGTGGGCTCCCGTGGGCCCCTTGGCTGGGCGGGCATCTGCCTGTCCTGGGCAGAGATGGGGCTCGGGGATGGCTGGTGGGGATGGAGCTGGGGGGCTGGGGCCGCCCCTCCGCTCCTCACGCGGGCCCCTCCCCTCTCCGCAGACAAGGACGTGGGCGCCTGCCCCAACTCACAGGTGTTCTTGTACAACCTGACCACCTGCCCGCCCACCTGCCGCTCGCTCTCCGAGGCCAACGCCCACTGCCTTCGGGGCTTTGCGCCCGTGGACGGCTGCGGCTGCCCAGACGGCACCTTCCTGGACGAGAAGGGCCGCTGCGTGCCACTGGCCAAGTGCTCCTGCTACCACCGGGGCCTCTACCTGGAGGCTGGGGAAGTGGTGCTGAGGCAGGAGGAACGCTGGTGGGTGGCCTGGGCTGGGTGGGGAGGGCCCACGTCCCTGCCCGTGTCCCCGCGCCACGGGCGTGTCCGCCCCCTGCCCCCCGGGAGCCAGGCCCGCTCACCTCCGCCCTCTTCCCCTCAGCGTCTGCCGCAACGGGAGGCTGCACTGTGTGCAGGTCAAGCTGCTCGGCCAGAGTAAGTAGATGCGGCCGCAGCACGGCTTCCTGCCCTGCACGCACCCCGCCCCACCCCCCGGGCCTTGCCGGCCCCGCCCCCGGCCCCAGCTTCCGTTGAGCCGAGGGGGCCCCTCTGTCCCACAGGCTGCTCGGCCCCAAAGATCCACATTGACTGCAGCAACCTGACAGCGCTGACCATCCAGAACTCGCAACCTACCAGCTGCCAGACGCTAGCGGCCGGCCACGTGCGTGTGCGGGGCCACCAAAGGGGAGGGCGTGGACAGGCTTCCACACTGACCCTGGGGTCTGGATGCTGGGTCCTGCATACGCACGGGCCTCATTGGCCCTCCCCGTCCCTGGGGCCCCCCGCCCAGCCCACAGAGGGCTCGGGGCCAGTGTAGGGACCCCTGGCCGGCAGCCCTCACCTGTCTCCCGGCCCAGGGCTGAGCCCAAGAGAGAAGACAGGCCAGGGGTAGGGTGGGGAAGGGACAAAGAGGGTGTCTGCAGTGCGAGGAGAGGGGGCAGCCACGGGAAGGGCTGACTTGGCCATTCGGGGCCTGAAGCCCACTCTCCGGCCGCCTGCAGTATCAGACGGAGTGTGTCAGTGGCTGCGTTTGCCCGCAAGGGCTGATGGACGATGGCCGTGGCGGCTGCGTTGTGGAGGAGGAGTGCCCGTGTGTGCACAACACAGACCTGTACGCCCCCGGGGACACGATCAAGGTGGACTGCAACACGTGGTAAGTGGCCGGGCCCGGTGGACCCTGGCCCCAGGTGCTCTGGTGGGACCATCCACGCGGCGCCGACTCGGCCAGGCTGCCCTCTGAGCAGCGGGGGAGGGCTGGCCCCTGCGGCCCCTCCAGGCCCCCTTCCCGCTCTCCTCAGCACCTGCCGGAGAGGGCGCTGGGCGTGCACCGAGTCGCTGTGCTACGGCTCCTGCATCATCCACGGGAACGGCCACTACGTCACCTTTGACGGGAAGTACTATGACTTCGACGGGCACTGCTCCTACGTGGTGGCCCAGGTGAGGCCCAGCATGTGCCGGCCTGGGCCCATGGCCCTGCACCGACCCTGAGCTGCGGCCAGCCCAGTGAGGGGCCTGGGTCCCCCCGTTCCGGGACCCTCCCACGCCGCGTGGGGAGGGAAGGGATCGTGCCGCGTGGTCACCCCTCTCACCGGAGGAGGGCTGCGCTGGGCGGAGCCCAGCTGGGGGGGGCGCTGGGGGCCTGGCCGGTCTGGCTCACGTCCTCTGTGGTCCCAGGACTACTGTGGCCAGAACTCCTCCTCGGGCTCCTTCGGCATCTTCACCGAGAACGTTCCCTGTGGCACCACGGGGGTCACTTGCTCCAAGGCCATCAAAATCTTCTTGGGGGTGAGTGCTGCCTGACCCTGGGGACACGCAAGCCCTCGGGGACCCTCAGACTCGGCTAGTGACAGGGCCTCTCCCCCGGGCACAGAGGACGGAGCTGAAGCTGGAGGACAAGCGCCGCCTGGTGATCCAGCGGGACACAGGCCACCACGTGGCCTACACCACGCGGGAGGTGGGCCAGTACCTGGTGGTGGAGGCCAGCATCGGCATCATCGTCATCTGGGACAAGAAGACCACCATCTTCATCAAGCTGGCCCCGTCCTACAAGGTGCGTGGTGGCCCTCACCTGCCTGGCCTTCCTGCCGGGGGAGGGGACGAGCCTCCCCCCTCGAGCCCGCTCATGGAGCCCCCGGCTGGCTGTCTCTGCAGGGCATGGTGTGCGGGCTGTGTGGGAACTTTGACGACCGCTCCAGCAACGACTTCACCACAAGGGACCACATGGTGGTGGACAGCGAGCTGGACTTCGGGAACAGCTGGAAGGTGGCCCCCAACTGTCCAGACGTGAGCATCACCCCGGATCCATGCACCGGGAAACTGCACCGCCTCTCCTGGGCCAAGAAGCAGTGCAGCATCATCAAGAGCTCCGTCTTTGACATCTGCCACAGCAAGGTGTGGCGGGTTGGGGGCGGGCCTGTGAGAAGCCCGTGGCCGTGGGCTCACGCTGGGGAGTCACCCTGCTGTCACCACGTGGCACCTTTCCTGCAGCTTCCGCGCCACCTTCTGTCCTTTGACCAGAGGTCCAGCCTTCCCCGAGACCCCTGGCTCGCCCGCTCCTCCTGCACCTTCCGAGGAGGGAGCAAGGACGCCTGCAGTGGCAGGCCATGGGTGGCAGGGGGGAGGGTTGGCCCACCTGTCTCTGGGCCTCCCCCACCGAACCCCCTGGGAGGCTAGTGCTGGACTGCGCCCTGTCCCAGGGTCTGGAGCTCCTGGGCAGGTCTGGCCCCATGCGGGCAGTACGGGCTCAGGGCACAGAGAGTCTTCTCCCCCAGGTGGACCCCAAGCCCTTCTACGAGGCCTGCATCCACGACTCGTGCTCTTGCGACACCGGCGGGGACTGTGAGTGCTTCTGCTCTGCCGTGGCCTCCTACGCTCAGGAGTGTACTAAGGAGGGGGCCTGCGTGTTCTGGAGGACGCCAGACGTGTGCCGTGAGTGTCCCCGATCCTGGAGCGGGGGGCTGCGCTGTGCTGGGGAAGCAGTCCTCACCCATCAAAGCGATGGGTGTGTGGGGGTTCCTCCTGCCTCTCTGGCCCCAGGGGCCAAGTGTTGCTCCTCGGGGGCCGTGCCAGCCTGGCCTCGGCCCTCCCTGAATCTGACCCCTCCCCTCCACCTGCAGCCATATTCTGTGACTACTACAACCCCCCGAACAAGTGTGAGTGGCACTATGAGCCCTGTGGGAACCGCAGCTTCGAGACCTGCAGGACCATCAACGGCATCCACTCCAACATCTCCGTGTCCTACCTGGAGGGTGAGCGGACCTCAGGGGCAGGGGGATGGTGACCCCACAAGAGACGCCTCGTGGGGCTGGGGGCCTGAGGTCCAGGTGGACCAGGCTCACCTTGCTGCAGAGTGCGTTCACGGAGCTAAGAGAGGCAGAAAGAATCTAGAGGGGACGGGGCCCCCAGGAAGCTGCAGAGTAGGACAAGGCAGGGTGTCCCAGACAACAGGTCTGGGGGACTCTTCAGGGCCTTTGAGCTGAGAACTAGGGGCACGAAGGAGTGAGCCACCTCTGGGGAGGGAGCATCCTAGCCCGTGGGAGGGATGCAGGGTCAGGAGGCTGGGGGCGGGGGCTGGCTGTCCTTTTGGCCATGCGGTGGTGTGTAGGGCTCAGTGGGGGAGGAGGTCCCGGCCCCTGTCCTTTTGTTCCCTGGCCTTCCCAGAGGAACATCCTGGAGAGAAGGACCTGCCGTGGTGGGGATGGTGGGTGGGGTCTGGTGGTTGTGGGACCTTCCTCAGTGGTCCAAGCTCCATGGCCCGTGCCTGCCAGGCTGCTACCCCCAGTGCCCGAAGGACAGGCCCATCTATGATGAGGACCTGAAGCAGTGCGTCACGGTGGACAAATGTGGCTGCTATGCTGGGGACACCCGCTACCCGCCTGGAGGATCCGTTCCCACCGACAAGGACTGCCTGTCTTGGTACCTGAGCTCACGCAGCTGGGGGCCCCGGGAGGCCAGACGCACACGCACGCACGGCTCAGCTGCACACACGTGGTTCACGCGCACACACGAATGCACACACACGCGCATGCACAATTCAGCTGCACACGTGTGATGCATGCGCACACACAAACACATGCACACATGGCTCAGCTGCACACGCGTGGTATGCATGCACACACGAACACACGCACACACACGGCTCAGCTGCATATGCGTGGTGCACGCACACACACGCACACACATGCACACGCATGCACGATTCAGCTGCACATGCGTGGTACGCACGCACACACGAATGCACACGCACGCGCACACATGAACGCACATGCACGCGCATGCATGATTCAGCTGCATACGCGTGATGCATGCGCACACACGAACACACACGCACGCGCACACACGGCTCAGCTGCATACGCGTGGTGCACGCACACACACGAACGCACATGCACACGCATGCACGATTCAGCTGCACACGTGTGGTGCACGCACACACACGAAACACATGCACATGCACACACGAATGCACACACACGCACATGCACGATTCAGCTGCACACGCGTGATGCATGCGCACACACAAATGCACACGCACACACGGCTCAGCTGCACACGTGTGGTATGCATGCACACACGAACGCACGCACACGCACGGCTCAGCTGCATATACGTGGTGCACGCACACACACGAACGCACACGCACACGCATGCACGATTCAGCTGCACACGCGTGGTATGCACGCACAGGTGTGGTATGCACGCACACACGAACGCACACGCACGCGCACACACGAACGCACATGCACGCACGGCTCAGCTGCACACGCGTGGTGCACGTGCACACACGAACACATGCACATGCATGCACGATTCAGCTGCACACGTGTAGTGCACATGCACACACAAACACACACGCACATGCACACACGGCTCAGCTGCACACGCGTGGTGCGCGTGCACACACGAACACACGCACATGCACACACGGCTCAGCTGCACACACGTGGTGCACGCACACACGAACACACGCACGCCGTGCGTGCACGCACACAAGGGCGGACACACAGCCACATGTGCACACCCCAGGAGCCAGGGTTTGGGGGCGCGAGCTCTCGCCCACGGGCAGAGGTTTTGGGGCTGTGCCTGGGACCCAGCAGGCCGGAGGCCGAGGGCGGGAGGCTGGAGGGGCACGTCCTGTGGTCTACAGCTCTGCACTTGCTTTACAGCGTGTGTACCAACACCTCGGAAGTTGTCTGCCGGCCAGAAGAAGGCAAGCTGCCCTCTGCATCGACCACGAGGCGGCTCCCAGGAGAGCCCCCAGGCTGCCTGCCCTGGATTCTGGGGCTGGGGCTCCGTCTTGTCCTCCCCTGGCCCCGTGGCCCCCCAGGGGCCTTTCCTGGCTCAGAGCTGGCTCTGACTTGTAGCAGCCTCCCCACGCTGGTGACGGGAGCCGAGGTCACCCCTCTGCCATCCAGCTTCTGTGCCCTGAAGGGGGGCCCCTTTGGGGTCTGGGGGTGGAGTCCTGAGGGGGAATTGGCCCAGCATTTGTTGGAGCGGGGGGATGCCTGGGGGGTTCTTGGGAGTCTCTGTCTTGTTCCTGCTGTGTTGACCTGGGCCTTCCCTCCTGCCCCCAGGGAAGATTGTCAACTACACCCAGGACGGCTTCTTCTGCTACTGGGAGATCTGTGGCCCCAACGGGACGTTGGAGAGATACTTCAACATCTGCATAACCTCAACCTCCCGGCCGCCCTCCACCACGATCCCCGTCACCCCCAGTACCCTCCTCACCAGCACCACCACCACCACCACCATCACCACCACCACCACCACCACCACCCCAACCCCCAGCACAGGTAGAACCCAAGGCCCCACACCCCTCACCCCCCAGAGTGCCTGCCTTGCCCTGAGCCCACGGAAGCAGCTCTTCCAGGGGCTGGGAAGGGGCCAGGGCAGGGGAGGGGTGGGACACAGGCCAGGAGGGAAAGGGAACTTTCCAGGAGAGCCAGCTGTGGGGCCGGGTGGCCAGTGTGGCTCCCTTGTGCAGAGAGGGTCCTCTCACCAGGCCCTGGGCTCAGCACAGGGAGGGGACCGGCGCTGGCTGACAGCACTGTTGGTCAGGAGTCTAGACCAGGCCCCTTCCCATGGGCCTCCTCACTGCAATGGGTGACCCTTCCTGGATTTACTTTTTTTGGGCCCTGAGGCCAGGATCTGTCACCCAGGTGTGGCATGAGGAGCTCAGCGTTCAGCTGCAGGAGGAGGATGGAAGTGGTGTCCGGCCTTACATTCTATAAGCTGGCTCTTTGGCCATGATAGGAAGGGTGGTCATGGGGACTCTGACCTCTCCGAGTCCCAGTGAGCTCCCTGGAAGCTGCATCCAGAGTGGGGACCAATCTTGGGTCTTCCTTCCCCAGGGCTGTGCTGTTTCTGGTCCGACTGGATCAATGAGAACCACCCCACTATACACAGTGATGGTGGAGACCGGGAGACCTTCGACGGTGTCTGCAGAGCCCCTGAGGACATCGAGTGCAGGTTGGCCGCAGAGCCCCACCTCAGCTGGGAGCAGGCGGGCCAGAAGGCGCGGTGCAATGTCTCCTTTGGGTTCATTTGCTACAATGTAGACCAGTTTGGAAACGGGCCATTTGCAGTCTGTTACGACTACGAGATACGTGTCAATTGCTGTGTGCCAATGGATGAGTGTCACCCGTCCACAACCATGGCCCCCACGACCACTCCCACCACCTTCACCATGACCACCACCTCCACACCTACACCAGAACCCCTGACTACCACCACCACCACCACCACAGGCACCCGAACCCCAACATCTACCACCACCACCACTCCGCCCACCACGCTGACCACCACGCCGACCACCACACCGACCACCACCATCACCACCACGCCGACCACCACGCCAACCACCACTCCGACCACCACCCCGACCACCACGCCGACCACCATTCCGACCACCACACCGACCACCACGCCGACCACCACGCTGACCACTCCGACCACCACGCCGACCACCACGCTGACCACCACTCCGACCACCACCATCACCACCACTCCAACCACCACACCGACCACAACCATCACCACCACTCTGACCACCACACCGACCACCACACCGACCACCACGCCGACCACCACTCCAACCACCATCACCACCACTCCGACCACAACACCGACCACCACTCCGACCACCACCATCACCACCACTCCGACCACCACTCCGACCACTGCGCCGACCACCACGCTGACCACCACTCCGACCACCACGCCGACCACCACCATCACCACCACGCCGACCACCACGCCGACCACCACTCCGATCACCACCATCACCACCACTCTGACCACCACGCCGACCACCACACTGACCACCACTCCGACCACCACGCCGACCACCACGCTGACCACCACTCCGACCACCACCATCACCACCATTCCGACCACCACACCGACCACCACACCGACCACCACACCGAGCACCACCACCACAGGCACACCAACCTCGACTCCCACCATCACCACCACCATAGGCACAGAGACCCCAACCCCAACACCTACTCCGACCACCACAACCACCTCGACGTCCACACCTACTCCAGAACCCCCGACCACCACCACCACCACGCCTACCCCAGAATCAACCACCACAGGGCCAACAATCTCTCCCTGTGTGCCTCACTGCAACTGGACGGGCTGGTTGGATTCAGGTAAACCAAGCTTTACCAAACTGGGTGGAGACATTGAATCAATTAAGAACGTCTGTAAAGGAGGCTTGGCAGTCAACATCTCCTGCAGAGCCACACAGTTTCCCAACATGCCCATTGAAGAACTTGGGCAGAATGTGGTGTGTAACCTCTCTGTCGGGCTGGTGTGTAGAAATGAAGACCAGAAGCCAGGGGGGATCATGCCACAGGCCTTCTGCCTCAACTATGCGATCAATGTCCAATGCTGTATAATGCCTGATGACTGTATCCCCATATCTGTTCCTACCACCACCCCGACCACCACCTCCACCATCACCACCACCACAGGCACCCCAACCCCAACCCCTACCATCACCACCACCTCAGGCACTGAGACCCCAACACCTACCATCACCACCTCTCCAACAACCACCATGACCACCACCCCAACCACCACCACCACGGGCACTCTGACCCCGACGCCCACCATCACCACCACTCCTACCACCACCACCACAGGCACCCCAACTCCGACCACCACCACCACAGGCACTCCGACCTCAACACCCACTATCACCACCACTACGGGCACGGAGACCCCGACACCTGCCCAGACCACCACCACGACCACGACCACCACGGGCACCCCGACCCCGACCCCCACCATTACTGAGACCCCGACCCCCACCATCACCACCACTCCGAGCACCACCACTCCGAGCACCACCACGACCACCACGACCACGGGCACCCCAACCCCGACACCCACCATCACCACCACTCCGAGCACCACCACGACCACCACGGGCACCCCAAACCCGACCCCCACCATTACTGAGACCCCGACCCCCACCATCACCACCACTCTGAGCATCACCACTACAAGCACCACCACGACCACCACGACCACGGGCACCCCGACCCCGACACCCACCATTACTGAGACCCCGACCCCCACCATCACCACCACTCCGAGCACCACCACAACCACCACAACCACGGGCACCCCGACCCCGACACCCACCATTACTGAGACCCCGACCCCCACCATCACCACCACTCTGAGCATCACCACTCCGAGCACCACCACAACCACCACAACCATGGGCACCCCGACCCCGACACCCACCATTACTGAGACCCCGACCCCCACCATCACCACCACTCTGAGCATCGCCACTCCGAGCACCACCACGACCACCACGACCACGGGCACCCCGACCCCGACACCCACCATCACCACCACTCCGAGCACCACCACTCCAGGCACCACCATGACCACCACCATCACGGGCACCCCAACCCCGACACCCACCATTACTGAGACCCCGACCCCCACCATCACCACCACTCCGAGCACCACCACAACCACCACAACCACGGGCACCCCGACCCTGACACCCACCATCACCACCACTCCGAGCACCACCATTCCAAGCACCACCATGACCACCACAACCACGGGCACCCCAACCCCGACACCCACCATCACCACCACTCCGAGCACCACCACTCCAGGCACCACCATGACCACCACCATCACGGGCACCCCAACCCCGACACCCACCATTACTGAGACCCCGACCCCCACCATCACCACCACTCCGAGCACCACCACTCCAGGCACCACCACGACCACCACGACCACGGGCACCCCGACCCCGACACCCACCATTACTGAAACCCCGACCCCCACCATCACCACCACTCCGAGCACCACCATTCCAAGCACAACCACTCCGAGCACCACCACGACCACCACGACCACGGGCACCCCAACCCCAACCCCCACCATTACTGAGACCCCGACCCCCACTATCACTACCACTCTGAGCACCACCACTCCAGGCACCACCACGACCACCACGACCATGGGCACCCCGACCCCGACCCCCACCATTACTGAGACCCCGACCCCCACCATCACTACCACTCTGAGCATCACCACTACAAGCACCACCACGACCACCACGACCATGGGCACCCCGACCCCGACACCCACCATCACTACCACTCCGAGCACCACCATGACCACCACGACCACAGGCACCCCAACCCCGACCCCCACCATTACTGAGACCCCGACCCCCACCATCACCACTACTCCGAGCACCACCACTCCAAGCACCACCACGACCACCACGACCACCACGACCACGGGCACCCCGACCACGACACCCACCATCACCACCACTCCGAGCACCACCACGACCACCATGACCATGGGCACCCCGACCCTGACGCCCACCATCACCAGCACTCCAAGCACCACCACGACCACCATGACCACAGGCACCCCGACCCCCACCATTACTGAGACCCCGACCCCCACCATCACCACCACTCCGAGCACCACCACGACCACCACGGGCACCCTGACCCCAACCCCCACCATTACTGAGACCCCGACCCCCACCATCACCACCACTCCGAGCACCACCACGACCACCACGACCATGGGCACCCCGACCCCGACACCCACCATCACCACCACTCCGAGCGCCACCACGACCACCACAACCATGGGCACCCCGACCCCGACCCCCACCATTACTGAGACCCCGACCCCCACCATCACCACCACTCCAAGCACCACCACGACCACCACGACCACGGGCACCCCGACCCCGACACCCACCATCACCACCACTCCGAGCGCCACCACAACCACCACGACCATGGGCACCCCGACCCCGACCCCCACCATTACTGAGACCCCGACCCCCACCATCACTACCACTCCGAGCACCACCACTCCGAGCACCACCACGACCACCATGACCACGGGCACCCCGACCCCGACACCCACCATTACTGAGACCCCGACCCCCACCATCACCACCACTCCGAGCACCACCACTCCAAGCACCACCAAGACCACCACAACCACGGGCACCCTGACCCCGACACCCACCATTACTGAGACCCCGACCCCCACCATCACCACCACTTCGAGCACCACCACTCCGAGCACCACCACGACCACCACGACCACGGGCACCCCAACCCCAACCCCCACCATTACTGAGACCCCGACCCCCACTATCACTACCACTCTGAGCACCACCACTCCAGGCACCACCACGACCACCACGACCACGGGCACCCCGACCCCGACACCCACCATTACTGAGACCCCGACCCCCACCATCACCACCACTCCCAGCACCACCACTCCGAGCACCACCACGACCACCACGACCACGGGCACCCTGACCCCGACCCCCACCATTACTGAGACCCCGACCCCCACCATCACCACCACTCCAAGCACCACCACGACCACCACGGGCACCCCGACCCCAACCCCCACCATTACTGAGACTCCGACCCCCACCATCACCACCACTCCGAGCACCACCACTCCGAGCACCACCACGACCACCACCACCACGGGCACCCCGACCCCGACACCCACCATCACCACCACTCCGAGCACCACCACGACCACGGGCACACCGACCCTGACGCCCACCATCACCACCACTCCGAGCACCACCACGACCACCACGACCACAGGCACCCCGACCCCCACCATTACTGAGACCCCGACCCCCACTATCACCACCACTCCGAGCACCACCACTCCGAGCACCACCACGACCACCACGACCACGGGCACCCCGACCCCGACACCCACCATTACTGAGACCCCGACTCCCACCATCACCACCACTCCCAGCACCACCACTCCGAGCACCACCACGACCACCACGACCACGGGCACCCCGACCCCGACCCCCACCATTACTGAGACCCCGACCCCCACCATCACCACCACTCCAAGCACCACCACGACCACCACGGGCACCCCGACCCCAACCCCCACCATTACTGAGACTCCGACCCCCACCATCACCACCACTCCGAGCACCACCACTCCGAGCACCACCACGACCACCACCACCACGGGCACCCCGACCCCGACACCCACCATCACCACCACTCCGAGCACCACCACGACCATGGGCACCCCGACCCTGACGCCCACCATCACCACCACTCTGAGCACCACCACGACCACCACGACCACAGGCACCCCGACCCCCACCATTACTGAGACCCCGACCCCCACCATTACCACCACTCTGAGCACCACCACTCCGAGCACCACCACGACCACCACGACCACGGGCACCCCGACCCCAACACCCACCATTACTGAGACGCCGACCCCCACCATCACCACCACTCCGAGGACCACCACGACCACCATGGGCACCCCGACCCCAACCCCCACCATTACTGAGACCCTGACCTCCACCATCACCACCACTCTGAGCACCACCACTCCGAGCACCACCACGACCACCACGACCACGGGCACCCTGACCCCGACCCCCACCATTACTGAGACCCCGACCCCCACCATCACTACCACTCTGAGCACCACCACTCCAGGCACCACCATGACCACCACCATCACGGGCACCCCAACCCCGACACCCACCATTACAGAGACCCCAAACCTCACCATCACCACCACTCTGAGCACCACCACTCCGAGCACCACCACGACCACCACGACCACGGGCACCCCGACCCCGACCCCCACCATTACTGAGACCCCGACCCCCACCATCACCACCACTCCGAGCACCACCACGACCACCACGGGCACCCCGACCCCAACCCCCACCATTACTGAGACCCCAACCCCCACCATCACCACCACTCCGAGCACCACCACTCCGAGCACCACCACGACCACCACGACCACAGGCACCCCGACCCTGACACCCACCATCACCACCACTCTGAGCACCACCATGACCACCATGACCATAGGCACCCCGACCCCGACCCCCACCATTACTGAGACCCCGACCCCCACCATCACCACTACTCTGAGCACCACCACTCTAAGCACCACCACGACCACCACGACCACCACGACCACGGGCACCCCGACCCTGACGCCCACCATCACCACCACTCCGAGCACCACCACGACCACCACGACCACAGGCACCCCGACCCCCACCATTACTGAGACCCCGACCCCCACCATCACCACCACTCCGAGCACCACCACTCCGAGCACCACCACGACCACCATGACCACGGGCACCCCGACCCCAACCCCCACCATTACTGAGACCCCGACCCCCACCATCACCACCACTCCGAGCACCACCACTCCCAGCACCACCACAACCACCGTGACCACGGGCACCCCGACCCCGACACCCACCATCACCACCACTCTGAGCACCACCACGACCACCATGACCACGGGCACCCCAACCCCGACCCCCACCATTACTGAGACCCCGACACCCACCATCACCACCACTCCGAGCACCACCACGACCACCACGACCACGGGCACCCCGACCCCGACACCCACCATCTCCACCACTCCGAGCACCGCCACGACCACCACGGGCACCCCAACTCCAACCCCCACCATTACTGAGACCCCAACCCCCACCATCACCACCACTCCCAGCACCACCACTCCGAGCACCACCACGACCACCACGACCACGGGCACCCCAACCCCAACCCCCACCATTACTGAGACCCCGACCCCCACTATCACTACCACTCTGAGCACCACCACTCCAGGCACCACCACGACCACCACGACCACGGGCACCCCGACCCCGACACCCACCATTACTGAGACCCCGACCCCCACCATCACCACCACTCCCAGCACCACCACGACCACCACGACCACGGGCACCCCGACCCCGACACCCACCCCAACAACCACGACGACCACCACCACCACGGGCACCCCGACCATCACCACTACCACGGGCACTGAACCTGCAGGTAAGACCACCATGCCAAAACCCCCACCTGAGCCCTCCTTTCCTCCAGACTCTCAATTCATCTTTCCTCCTTCCACAGAATCAACCACGCTTCTGACCAGCACCCCAACAATCACGAAGACACCCAGCACACTGTCGCCCTCCCCGCCAACAGAAACAAAGGGCACTACCACAGGAAGCATCTCGCCTTCTCCGCCCACTCCTGCTGCCAGCACTCCAGGTACATAAGCCCCACGGAGCAGGTGTGCTTGCCAGTGGTGTGCTCAGGGTCCTCCTAACCCTAGGAGAGCAAGCTTTCCTGCTGGGAGCCATACAGCTTCTCAGACATGAGGTGTGGGCGGCAGAGCAGAGAGCTCCCCACTTGCCCCCCACAAGATGTCTCTTCAGGCACAGCTTCCTGAGGTCCTTGTTCCTCAATCCTTGGCTGTGTGATGGGCAATATGGGCAAAGAAGTCCAGGGAGGGGGCCCCACTGTGGCATGTGGGGCCAGGGCTGGGAATGGAGGCTCCTGTCAGGTGCCCTGGGAGACCCCCCTTCTGTCCCCCACCTCTGCCAGCACCTCCCCATGGGGCTTCAGAGGGCAGCTGGTCAGCATAATCTCAGACGGACCGGTGTTGTGACAACCCCTTTAGCCTCACCACTGTGGACCTAACACTGCATGGTGGGCCCTGCTCGCCTCGCCCTACCTTGAGACCGAGAGCCAGGAAAGTGGACGTCGGCCTTTCCACGCCACATGCCACGGCTTGAGTGGGTTTTCTGCGAGGTGGCTGCATTTGCCATCGGGCCCCTGTGGTCTCTCAGATGAGTGGATGCTATGAGCTCCCACCTGAAACCTTCATTTTTACAGGCATGCAGACCTCCGGTCCCACCTCCTCAAAGACCACCCCCACCAGCGAAACTACAACTGGGCCCCCCTCGCCCACCCCAGGAGCCCCCTCCACGCCCACTCCCACGACTGTGTCAACGACCACCACAGGAACCTCCACACCGCCCACACCGTCCAGGCCACAGACCGCCAGCCCCACGACCTCCCATGTGCCCACCCCTACACTGACCCCAATCTCCACCCCCAACCTCACCATAAGCACGGGCTCAGTCATTTCCCCCACTCAGCTCCTCTGCTGCGTTTTGAATGACACCTACTACGCACCAGGTACCCAAGCTTTTCCCTCTGGCTTTCGGGCGACAGAGGCTGGTGGGGCTTTGGTCTCTGCTTTCACCAGTGGTTGGGGGTCAGGCGTCAGTCTAAACCAGGAGCTCACTTGGGAAGCTGGATGCTGGGTGTGGGCGGCTGTCCCTGTGGTCAGGCCCGCTTTGCTGTGGCCGTGAATCAGGGAAGTGGGGTGTGGTGGCCTCGTGGGACCTGCCGCATGCCCTGGTGGCCAGCCCTGTCTGGACAGTGGAGGACTGGTCTCTCTCCCCTCGTAGGTGAGATGGTATACAACGGCACACACGGGGACACCTGCTATTATGCGAACTGCTCGCGGTCCTGCACCATCGAGATCTTCAACTGGTCATGCCCGTCCACACCCTCCCCAACACCCAGCCCTTCCGAGCTGGCACCCACTTCAACACCCAAACCACCCACGCCCACAGCATCGAGCACACCGGCCACCACCAAGCCCCCTGCGTGCCCAGACTTTGATCCTCCCAGACAGGTCAGTGTGCCGCGGGCTATTTCTTGTCCCCTTGGCACTGAGCACACTCACCCACCAGCCAGGTATCCGGAGCCCAGGCACTGCCTCTCTGCTGGTCATCCGAGACTCCCCTGTCCCTGCGCCCTGCACCACCACTGAGGCTTCTAGCAGCCTTCTGGGTGCAGGGTCCGCTGGAGCCCCCCACTTCTCACCCACGCCTTCCTTGCCTCAGTGAGCTGCCTCCTGCTCGGGGTGCCCGGTGCCCCAGCCTCCAGCGGGGTGGGGGGGGGTCCAGGCTGGTCCCCGCTGATCCTGCGCCCTTCCTGCCGTAGGAGAACGAGACGTGGTGGCTGTGTAACTGCACAATGGCGATTTGCAAGTACAACAACACCGTGGAGCTCGTGGAGATGGAGTGCGAGGTCCCGCCCAAGCCCACCTGCTCCAACGGCCTCCAGCCCGTGCTCGTCAAGGGTCCCCACGACTGCTGCCAGCACTGGGAGTGCGACTGTAAGTCCCCTGACGCCGCAGGACCCTCCGCCTTCTCCCTCTGTGGGCGGGGGGCGGCAGGGCCCGAGGTCCTTGGACGTGATGGCCGCCTGCGGTGGGCTTCCTCCTTGCGCCTCATCTCAGGCAGGGGGTCCAGGTGTGGGGCTTGCCTGGTGGAGCACAGCTACCTGTGCAGAATGAGCTGCTCCCGGGGTTGGAGGAGCAGAGTGGCACTCGGCACCCAGGCCTTCTGGCTCCAAGGCGGGGCTCCGTCCCACAGAACGGGCTTGCATGCCCCGCACGCCCCAGGAACCGGAATGTGCGGCGCCCCCTTGACTCCTGCTTGCTGTTCCCACCGTCCCTGGGCTCCCACCAGCCTCTGCCCCCGGCGCGGCCCCGGCCCGGGGCTCGGTGTGGCTCAGCAGAGCTCCCTCCTCAGGCTACTGCACAGGCTGGGGGGACCCTCACTACGTCACGTTCGATGGGCTGTACTACAGCTACCAGGGTAACTGCACGTACGTGCTGGTGGAGCGGGTCGCCTCCACGCTGGACAACTTCGGGGTCTACATCGACAACTACCACTGTGACGTCAACGACCAGGTGTCCTGCCCCCGTGCACTCATTGTGCGTTACGAGTTCCAAGAGGTGCTGATCAAGACGCTGCAGATGATGCCCATCAAGGTTCAGGTGCGTGGCAAGGCCGAGGACACCCAGGCGGGATGCACCCGTGGCGGGTTCCTCACTCGGCAGGGGACTGGGCTGTTCTCGCAGGCCCTCCAGGGGCATTCAGGGGCCCCTTGACCTCCCCCACTCATGCTCCCAGCACCTGCCCTAGTCCCAGGTCTCTGTGGCAGAAGCCCCCTTCCCGAGCACAGGCACTGGGCACACACTCACGTGGGGTTGCTGGTTCCTGTGGCCTGGGGAACTCTGCCCTCGGCATGCACCCCCGGCGACTCCAGGGGCCTCTGAGCGCAGTGTCCTTGCGACCTCCCCCAGGGGCCGGCCGGGACAAGTCTGGCCCAGAGCAATGGAAAGGAAGTGGGGAAGGGACCAGGGCAGGGGCCAGGCATAGGTCCCCCACTGGACGCACAGGCCTGAAAACAGGCAGGGGTGGGGTGATCCCAGGTGCTCTCTGAAGACTCAGCTTGCCCCGACTCACCCCTGTTGGACCCAGGAGGCTCTGTTTCCCGAGGTGGCCGGGGCGGGGCCCCAGGTGAGTGGCCACCACGCCTGCCCTGCTGGCTGTCCTGACCCCGGGTGTCTGGTCACAGGTGCAGGTCAACAGGCAGGTGGTGGCCCTGCCCTACGTGAAGAGTGAGCTGCATGTGTACCAGTCTGGCATCAACTACATGGTGGGAATCTCCGAGCTGGGCGCCCTCATCTCCTACAACGGACTTTCCTTCTCCATCAGGCTGCCCTACCACCTGTTTGGCAACAACACCAAGGGCCAGTGTGGTGAGCCCCTCGGCCCTGTGGGCTCCCTGCAGCCCTGAGGAGGGCGGCTCGGGCTGGGGGGAGGCTGGGTGTGAGCACCTGCCAGCCCAGCGGTGGTTCTCCGGGTCCCCGGCTCGGGGCCCTGTGGGAAGAGGCCAGTGGGAGTCCTGTCTGGTCTGTGCCCTCGGCCCCGGCCTGATGGTCACCGGGGGACCTGGGCTGGAGAAGGGGGGTGTGGGGCCGGGTGCTGGTGCGACGTGGGCTTCCTCCCAACACAGGCACGTGCACCAACAACACCGCGGACGACTGCGTGCTGCCCAGTGGGGAGGTTGTTGCCAGCTGCGAGTTCGCAGCGGATCAGTGGATGGTGAACGACCCCTCCAAGCCGCACTGTCCCCAAACCAGAGTCACCACCAAGGGCCCGACCATCACGCCGCCGGGGGGCAGCACCACCTCCCACAGGGACTGCACCTCTCCTCTCTGCGAGCTCATGAAAGACAGGTGCCCCTGCCCGTCACTAACGAACTGCGGGGTCTCGGGGAGCGGCTACCTCTCCCCTTTCTGTGCCGCACGCCTGTCTGCAGAGAGGCGCCGAGGCAGGGGGCTGAGCACGGGGCTGGGGTGTCGGAGGGAAGTCAGGGCACCATGGGCAGGTGCTGGGTCCCGGAGGGCCCAGGGCGGGGGCTCCTGATGTCTACGGGGCTGAGCTGTCTTGTCAGATATCCCTGGGCCTTTTCTGAACTCCCAGATCTCTCCTGCCTCGGCAGGGTCGGCTGAGCTGCGGGCCTTATGGAGAGCGGCTGACCAGGGCCAGAGCTAGCGTTCAGGGCTGGGTCAGGGAGGCACCCCCAAAGCTGGCAGCCATGCGAGCGAGGGCCTTGTCCCCAGAGGTGTGCAAGTCGAGGTTGGGTGGCCCTCTGCCAGGGTTGCAGGCGGGTGTCCCGGCACCTGGCAGCCACTGAGCTTGGAGCTCCCTCGCCTCCGACCACGGTCTGCCCACGGGCACTCGTTCGGTGGGATGCAGGCTGAGCCAGGCTCCAGGAGGGCAGCCGGGCGGAGGTGCTGGGCGGGTGGGAGGGCCGGCCAGAGTGTGACCCGCCCCCCCTCCCTCCCAGCTTGTTTGCCCCATGCCACGCCCTGGTACCCCCCCAGCACTACTACGAAGCCTGCATGTTCGACAGCTGCCTTGTGCCTGGCACAGGCCTGGAGTGCGCCAGCCTGCAGACCTACGCCACCCTCTGTGCCCAGGCGAACGTCTGCATCGACTGGCGGAACCACACCCACGGGGTCTGCTGTGCGTGCCTGGCTGCCCCTGCCCCAGACCTGTGGTCCCGCAGGCCAGATCGGGGCTCTGGGCTCCACTGGGCGCTGCGCCCGGCCTGAAGCCACACCGGGGTGGGAGGGCCGGCGGACAGGGAGAGCAGGCCTGGGCCTTGGGGTGGCAAGAAGGGCGGGCTTGGAGGGCTGGGGGCCTGGGGCTATGGCCAGCCTGCGTACCAGCTCAGGGATGGCGTGGGGGGCCGAAGTGGGCAGCACTGGGTGGCCGGTCACCCTCAGCCATCGCGGGAGTGGCTGGGCAGGCCTGTCCCTCGCCAGGGGGCCCACGGGCTCCTCCCTCCCAACTCTGGCCCCTCTGAGTCCTGTCTCCTTCCTGCAGCGGTGACGTGCCCGCCTCACAGGGAGTACCGGGCCTGTGGTCCTGCAGATGAGCCCTCCTGCGAGTCTAGCTTAGTTGCTACAAGGTGCGCAGGGACGGCGGGCTCGCCCCTCAGGCTGTGCATCGGGGCCCAGCCCGTGCGCACACCCATCTCATGATGCCCTCCCCCCCCCGCAGACTCCTAAAGCAGAAGAGCACCGGCCTGGTGGAAGGCTGCTTCTGCCCCGAGGGCACCACGAACTACGCCCCAGGATTCGACATCTGTGTGGAGTTGTGTGGTATGCTGCCCGTCCTCATTGCTCCGCGAAACCCACCCCAGTCCTGAGGCACCGGGCTCTGCTAACGGACTGTGTTCTCTCCCTGCCCAGGCTGTGTGGGACCTGACAATGTGCCTAGAAAGGTAGGCCCTTCCTCTTGGTGCTGGGGTGGGGTTCACCCACAAGCCCGGAATTTGGGGGGCTGGGGTGGGTTGCACACAAGAGTCTGGGAGTCTCAAAGCCTGAGTCATGTCATTTAAGTCCCGGAAGGCTGAGCCAGCAGGGGTGTCCCCTGGACGCCCACCCACCCGTCCACCTCCTTCCCTCTCCTCCCTCCTCCCACCCCTCCCTCCTCCCTCTCTCTTTCCTTCCTTCTACCCAACCATGCACTCACCCAACTATCCATCTATCCCTTTGTCTGTCCAACTGTCCATCCATCCATCCACTCATCCACCCACCCCTTCATTCCAACCACCCGTCGGTCACTTGATGCTCCATCTAAACCTGAGATGACATCTTCGCCACCGCAGTGTTGTCCGTGTCTCCCACACGTGGCCAATGCCTTAGCTCTATTCCGTGAACCCCCCCACACGAGTGGCGCATTTGCTGTGTGCTGGGCCCGTGGAGGCAAATGCCAGGAGCAGGTCATGGCTATATGGCGCCAGCGACATGGCCCCACGTGCTGGGAGGTGGGGAGGGCACAGGTTTCCCACAGGACCCTTGGTGCGACGCCCACCGCGGTGCCTCCTCCCGGCTGGGCACGGGCAGTGCTGCGGGGCGGCCCTGGCACGTGGCCGAGGGGGCTGGCGCCGCGACCCCTGCCCGCCCACTTCCTCCCTGCAGTTCGGGGAGCACTTTGAGTTCGACTGCAAGGACTGCGTGTGCCTGGAGGGCGGGCGCGGCATCATCTGCCAGCCCAAGGAGTGCCGCCAGGAGCCGGTCACCTGCACGGAGGACGGCACCTACCCGGTCACGGAGGTCAACCCGGCGGACATGTGCTGTAACATCACGACCTGCAGTAAGGCTGCCCCCCGGGCAGCGCTGGGTGCCTGGGGCTCACCCCGCCACCCCCGGCTGTCCTCAGCGCCCCGCTGAGCCAGGACGCCTCTGACTTGGGGGCCTGTGGGGGCTGGGCCGTCCCCCCGAGCTGGGTGTGGAGGGGGGAGGCCACTGCCCGCAGGCCCCGCCCTTTCCACTATCCCCCTCCCTCCCCCCAGAATGCAATACCAGCCTGTGTGAGGGGTTGCCGCCCAAGTGCCCACTGGGCTTCGAAGTGAGCAGCAAGGCCAGTCCTGGGAAGTGCTGTCCGTCCTACTCTTGTGGTCAGTGGGGCCTGGGAACCGCGGGCGGGGTCGCTCCACACGGTACGCACACCCACCCCGGGCCCGAGTGCCCATGCCGTCCGGTGGCTGGGTGTCGGCCGCGGGGCCAGGCAGGCCAGCCTGACCCGTGTCCCCATTCTATTCCTCCCAGTGCCCAAGGGTGTGTGCGTTCACGGGAATGCTGAGTACCAGGTGAGCCCTGGGCCCAGGGGTGGGGGTCCCGGGCAGGCTCTCAGGCTGGGCAGGGTGCCGGGGTGGGGGCAGCCCTCCGGCAGGCGGGCGGGAGGCGTGGGAGGTGGCCCTGTTCACCCGCCCTCCCTGTGCCCTCAGCCCGGGTCCCCAGTGTATTCCTCCAAGTGCCAGGACTGTGTCTGCACCAGCGACAGGAACAGCAGCTCACAGCTCAACGTCATCTCCTGCACCCACGTGCACTGCAGTGACTCCTGCAGCCCCGTAAGCCACCCCGTCCCCAAGAGCCACCCTCGCCTGTCCCCCGGCTCCTCCCCTCCCCACGCCCACCTGAGCCTGCGTGTCTCGCAGGGCTTTGAGCTGGTGGACGTCCCTGGGGAGTGCTGTGGCAAGTGTCAGCAGACCCACTGCATCATCAAAAGACCCAGCATGGAGAACATGATCCTAAAGGTGCGCGGGGAGCTCCACCTGCTCGCGTCCGCCTCTTGACTCGGGAGGGGCCGACCTGGAGCGGTGGGCGAGGCCTGGGACGACTCCTGCTGCCCCTGGCTGGGTCTCCCCAGGGCTGGGCACGGCTGTGCAAGGGTCCTGGGGCGACCGTGACAAGTGACCAGAGACTAGGGCTGGAAACACCGGGAATGACTGACTTTCCCAGCATGGAGCCCGAGTCCAAGCTCAAGGTGTTGCAGGGCCATGCTCCCTCCAAAGTCTCTGGGGGACCTTCCTGCCTCATCAGCTTCTGGGGCTCCAGGTGGCCCTGGGTTTGTGGCCGCATCCGTCCACTCTCTGCCTCATCTTCCCGTGGCCCCTCCTCTCTCTATAAGGACACTGGTCATTGCATTTAGGGCCACCTGTGTAATCCAGGATGGTCTCATCTTGAGATTTTTAACTTAATCACATCTATAAACACCGTTTCTCCAAAAAAGGTCACATCTGTAGGTGCTGGGGGTTAGGATGTGGACGTGTCTGTGAACTAGAGGCTGGTGGCTGTCCCGGGGCTCCTCCTGGGTGTCACCTGCTTGGCGGCTCTGGGCCTGCCAGCCGGGCCTCCTGCTGGGCCTCACCACACTGCCCTGTGCCCTGCAGCCCGGGGACATAAGTCACGACCCCACGAACAATTGCACCTTCTTCAGCTGCGTGAAAATCCACAACCAGCTCATCTCCTCCGTCTCCAACGTCACCTGCCCTGACTTTGACCCCAGCATCTGCCTCCCGGTGAGTGGGGGTCCCCAGGGCCAGGCCAGTCCCTGTCCCTTCCCACCCTGTGGCAGGAGGGGGGTGCTCACTGTCAGGGGGCAGTCCCGGATGCCAGGCTCATTCTCCTTCCCTCCAGGGCTCCATCACACTCATGCCCAACGGATGCTGCAAGAAATGTGAGTGCAGGCTGCTGGGAGGGAGGCTCCAGGGCACAAGGTGCGGCCAGGCAGGGCAGCTCCAGCTGGGACCCTCGGGGGGAAGAGGCACAGGGCGCCGTGTCCTGGGATCCCTGTCCCCTCTGTGCCACTCCCCACCGGATGCTAAACTTGAGGGCATCACCTGGGGTGCCCTGCTTGCTGGGGGGTGGCTGAGGCCGGGCGCGCTTGGGGAGGGAGAAGAAGCTGTGAGGGAAGAACCTGTAGGCCCCCTGAAGGTGTGGAGCCCCCACCCCAGAGCCTCCACCCCCTCTTGCCAGGCATCCCTCGCAACGAGACCAGGATCTACTGTTCCACCGTCCCCGTTACCAAGGAAATTTCTTACTCCGGCTGCACCAGGAAAGTCACAATGAATTCCTGCTCTGGGTTCTGTGGGACCTTTGTCATGTGAGTCCCAGGCCCTGCGTGTGCCCTGCTGGGGGTGGCAGGGCGGGGGCGGGGCGGTCCCGCGCCCCAGGGAGCAGCTCCTCACCGCGGCCCTCCCCCAGGTACTCGGCGCGGGCCCAGGCCCTGGACCGCCGCTGCTCTTGCTGTAAGGAGGCGCGCACCAGCCAGCGAGAGGTACGGCTGAGCTGCCCTGATGGCCGCTCCCTGAAGTACATGTACACCCACATCGAGAGCTGCCTGTGTAGGGACACCGTGTGTGAGCTCCCGCAGGCCCCGCGCCGCGTCTCTCGCCACGCCCGGGGCGCCAGCCCCAGGGGCCTGCCCCCGGGGAGGGATTGAGCAGGGCCCCGCCGTCCAGCCCCCACCCCGAAACCGTCCTCCGCACGCCCCCTCCCGCTGACCCTCTGAGCTTCCTCAGCTTAGAGGACCTCCTCCCTGCGGGTATTTATTTTCGGAGTCTTTGTTCAAGTCTTTGCTTTCCAAAATAAACCTGGGCAGACGCTGTGCTGGTGTGTTTCAGTCGGTGCCGAGGGTCTGGGTGGCTACCACGGGGCGAGTGGACGGAGAAGGCCCAGAGAGGGCACCCCCAGTGACCACCTTCCCTAGGCTACCTCCGAAAGCCCTGGCCTGCTCTCAGCGTGTCACGGCACAGGAGGCCCCCTTCCAGGAGGACTTCCCAATCTGAGTTTGCAAAAAAGGGCTCTCGGGTGCCTTTCCAGGGCTTTCCCCTTGGTGAGGCCCGGCAGCTCCGGGCAAGCGTGTGCACCTGGGTGTGCACATGGGTGTACACGTGTGGCTTGAGTGTGTGCGTTGAGACGTGCCTCATCCTGGGTCTCTGTGTTGGCAAGAAGGACGTCCTTGGTCCATGGGTCGGGGGCAGCAAGCCAGCTTCGGCTGCAAAGGCTGGGTCTTTCCTGGCTGCTCGGTGTGCCCGCAGAGCAGACTCTCAGACCCACTTGCGGAAGTTCTGGTTGGCTCTGTGGACCCAGGCGGGAGGCTGGCCCTGTGAGTGTGCACGTGCGTGTGCCCGGGCGTGCAGCCACATGGCCACCTGCCCGCATGTATCTGGGAAGCTGTTGTGGGAGCTGAGCCGCCAAAGTGGGAATTTTAGGGAAGGGACGCCTCTGGTCCTTTTCCAACAGAGCGTGCCAGGCTGGTGGGCCGTCTGGGTGGCCAGGGAGACGGCTGGACCAGAGCGGAAGCTCACAAGGTCGGGTGGGGAGCCAGCTGTCTGTTCTGAGGCAGCAGACCCCCAGCCTGAGCAGCTGGCGAGGGCACGGGAGCCCTGGGGCCCTGGGCCGAGGGGCCCTGAGTGCAGTCATCCTACCTGCGAGCATCCTCAGAAGCCTAAGGGGAGGGTGCCGATGTCCCCTGGGGCCCACAGTCTGTCCTCTCCCACGAGTGTCTGCCACATTTCACACTTGACCAAACGGAGGCTCTCAGGGAGGGTGGTGCCCACAGCAGTCTCCTCAATGCTGGGGGACCGGGGGGCTTGCACCAGGGGGGACCGGAACACCCCTTCCTCGGCATTCACTGTGTCCTGAGGAGCTGGGCTGCAGGCTCGGCCCTCCCTCAGCCGAGCCCTCCCCGACCTGCCCTCGCCTGACATCACGGAGGGCCGTGATGGTGGCCAGGGTGTGTCTGCATGTTGGCACGATCCTGGGACCTGGGACCTGGGGCCTGTCCAATGCCTTCTTGGCCTGGGGGGTGGCAAAAGCCCTGCACAGCCCCCTCTGGTGATCACAGGAGCCCATACTGTCCCTGGCCAAGACCTGTGGGCTTTCTAGGTGGTCAGTCGGCCTGGGCTGGCCTTGGAGCTGCCAAGTGACACCCTCGAGCAGGAGGTTTGCTGAGGGCACGGGGCGGGGCGGGGGGCTCCCAGCCTCGGCTGTGTGGCCAAGTGGGGGTTCCGGGTGCTTCAGAACTAGCCTTTCTGTAAAGCGGTCAACGTGCCTACCTGTGGCTCTCACCTGTTCCGAGGTGTGCCCCCCGGAGCCACCGAGGGCCTTGAGCTCCAGAAACTCTCGTACTGTGTGGTGTGTTTCGTTGATGTGGAGCTGAGCTCCTGGCCCATCCTGGCAGTAGGTCACTTCTGCCCCGCCTGGCTGTGCCCTTCTGGCGGGCAGCCCAGCACCAGCAGGACCACCTGCAGCACAAGAATGGGGGGGGCTCGTGGCCTGCATCTGGTCAGGGAGAGGGTCAGCCTCGGGCCAACGTCCTCATCCACCTCCTGGCTCTGCAGCTGTGAGGTGGGGGCTCTGGGTGACCAGGGGTGGGCGAGGGTGCAGCTGCGCCCGGCTTGCTTCTCTAGGCTGCGCCCCCAGACCCCAGTTTAAGCAGCATCACCAGGTTTTCTCTTTGACACATGGCAGTTTCCATGAGGCTTTGTTTGGAAAGAGGTTTTCGGCTTCAAAATCATTTGTTGACCCTTGGCAGATGGTTGCTGAGACTGCCCCCCTCCACCGGAGGAAGCAGAGGATGCTCCCCAGACCCCCTGCCCGACTCTCTGGAGGGACGGATGAATGATCCATGCACTGTGCGCCAGCCTTGCCAGGCCCAGAGGCCGTGTGGGGGGTGTCCCTTCGCTTCTTACAGGCCGCCCCTTCTGTTCCCACTGTTTACATGATGGCTCGGAGGGGTCTGCTAGGGACGCCCATGCAATGGGCAGCCACCCTGCCCTCTGTCCAGGAGCGACCGCCTTGGCTGAGCCCCTCCTCACCCTTCCCCTCTACCGCTCCCCAGCTTCTGGTCTCCAGCAGAGTGGTCCGGTCCAGAGGACAGCCCACCGGCCCACAGTCTGCTCCATGGGTGTCCCTCACCTGCCCAGGTCTGGTTTCTAGCCAGGGAGGAGTCGCCGTGGAGACCCCAGCGTGGAGGCCACACTTTACCCACCATGGTCCCTCCTTCTCTGGGCTGAGCACCAGCTTTGCACTGATACCCTTGGGACCAGTTGGAGATGCTGATCTGCCCTCTGACCTGAGGCAGAGAGGCCCCCATCTTGTCTCCAGGGCTGTCCCCGAACCCTCGCAGCCTTCGGAGGCCTCGGATGTTCTTGATCACACATTCATGGGACCCAGCTTGGCGCCCTTTTGTAAAGCAGGGGCTTCTCAGTGAGGGCTCAGCAGAGCAGGGGCCCCCCGCCCCCAACCGACCCCCGCTCTGTCGGCCCAGCCAGGACGGTCTTCTTGGGTTCTCTCTACCCAGAACCAGATGGGCAGGTCCTGGAGCGTCCTCTTCAGAGGAGGAAGGTGGGTGCAGGCGAAGGGGGGTGAGGGGCAGCAAGGGAGGAGGTCTGGTCACGTCTAGCTCTTTCGTCTCCCTCATCCAGCCCACATCCCTGAGCTGCATTGTCCTGGGGCTCAGTGGGGACGCGGGGCCTGGGACAAGGTCCAGGTGGCTGTAAGCTCAGATGCTGGGCCACATGGTCCCTGCTGCCACCTGAGGGGGCTCTGGGGACAGGGGGACAGGCCACCCAGGGCCCGACGAGGTGTCCAGAGGTTATGGCCTGTGTTGGCCACACTGGCCTACCTTCTTTCCACACAGCATCCCTTAGATTAGAGGTGTGCCTCGTGGTCCTGCTATGCCTGGTTCCTGGGGACGCCACGGCATCCCGAGCATCTGGCTCAGTGGGCATTCACACGCTCTCAGGAGCTGGGCCTTGTGGGCCTGGTGTGGCCTCCAGGGGTCAGTCCGGCTCAGGCTCTGGCTATACCGGCAGGCTCGGTTGGCTGAGGGCCTGGGACGCCCTCCCAGCCCCTCACCTCACAGTGGGATCATGACCATTACGACGAACGGCCAGTGGCCAGCCTGCTGCCCACTGGGCCTCCCAGAGGCTACACTCATTCTTCAGCACAGGGGAAGGTGGCAGAGCCAGGACCCCTGCCTGGCCCCAGAGACAGAAGGGGCTTCGGGGTCACCCTGCTGTGATGTCAGGTCCTGTCCAGACTCTGGTGCTACTCCTCCTGAGTCTGCTGGGCACCATGGGTTAGGGGAGCCCCAGGCCCCACTGTTTCACCCTCAATCATGGGGCTTCTGTGGAAAGAGCCAGGAAAGAGCCTTCCCTGAGCAGTGGCCTTGGGAAGGCAGGGTGGGCGACTGAGGATGGTCCCCCCGCCCCGGCTGTCTCCCCACCTCCCTTTCCTGGGGGAGCGTTTGTCTGGAGTCAGAGCTGAGTCCACTGTCCAAACGGTGAACACGAGCTGTCCCGGCTTACACAGCGTGGATGCATCTCGAAAGTGCTGGGACAACACGCGACCACACACTTCCTACTGCGGAGTGTGGAAACGACAAAGTGCGGGAGCAGAAAGCAGAGCCGTGGTTCCCTGGGACGGGGGCCTGGGGAGGGGACCGGCCGCAGAGTGGCACAGACACGCTCCGTGGTGGGCACATGCCACGTATCAGACTGCACGTCACCTGATGTCGCTTACGGCACGTAAGTCACACTTCGATACGAGAGTGAGCCTTCCGACAGTTGCCTCGAACAACTACTACTTATTTAGCTCATTATTCCGGTTCGGAGCCCAGGCTGGCTCGTCACGTGTCTGCCGTCAGCTGGGGGGTCCACAGGGCCAGCTGTGGCTGGGGGAGCGGGGCTCACGGACGCCCCCCTGCACAAATCCTCTTCTCCAGAGTGAGGTGGCAGGTCACACGATGCCCCACTGTTTGCAAGAGTGACAAGAGGACGGCCCGAACACAAGCACTTCCTGTGCTGCCCCCGTCACATTCGCGGCTGTTCCGGTGGCCACAAGCCACGTGCACGACCACGCCCAGATCAGCAAGGACACGCCACGGGGTATGCACGACCGGGACTTTGGCAGCCTCACGTCACACGGACTAGATGGTAGAAAGAGTGGGAAAGCCCAGCCGTCTCATTTGGAAACGAATTAGTGTGGCCCCCAAATCGCTCAAGAGCCGCCCAAGGAAGGAACGCTGTGCACAAGACCCACTTGTTAACACAGAGACGGACACCCTGAGGAATACATCAGCACAGCAAATTCAGGAGCGGAGCTGAGAAGCCTCGAGGGGCAGGAGCTTTTCTCTGTCCACAGGGGGGCTGGTCCCCTTCGCCCCGGCGCCTGCCACCCTCCTCTGGAAACAGAGGGCACGGCCATCCCGCCTCTGCTCTCTCCCATCCTCTCGGGGTGACCCGGAGGGGAGCTGGTCCAGGCCCATGCTGCCAGCCACTGGAAGGTTGTCTGTTGAATTCCAGGGGGACATATACTCACCCACAAACGTAGTCCGCGGCCTCCAGTCCGTGAATTTATAATTCACGAAGTCAGGTGTGGCCCTGCATCTGCCAAGACCCTTTGCTCATTTTTCAGCTGATTCAAGCACTCAGGTGTGGGGGTTTGCTGTGTACCAACCTCCCCCCGCACCCTACGTCCCAACAATCCCAAGCGAGTAGGGTTTTCCCGGGATCCAAGGACACGAGCACGAGAACAGGTACCGGCGACCTGTGCCCGCCCAGAGAGCTCTGCTGTGTGGCAGTAACCGAAG